AATAGTAGCATTGCAAAAAAAGATTTCAAGTAATAGCGCATTCTCCAATGACTTGTCGATCTATTCGGATTTTTTTTTCTCTAACAAATGGCATTGAACTTCTTTTCTTGTGTTTTATATCTTAGGTAATTTTCAATGATTATTCCTTTTTAAATGAAATTTTCGTTCTAAATAATTTATTAATTTATGTCTTTTAATTTATTTGGCTATAAAGGTACTTATTTTCAAAGATTTATCTATTAGATAACTTTAATTTATTAATATAACTCACCCACATACTTAATTAATATCTCTTGAAAATTATATTGAACCCATCTATAAAATTATCAAATAAATAAACAAATAAAAATTGTGTTTGCTTTTTTTTTTTTTAAAAAAAAGAAATTGCCAGGTTTAGATTTGATAGTACAAAGTCAACAGTTCATACCAACATCAGATTACATCATGATGATAATTACTCAACTTCAACAACCTCGATTACAAAGTTGATTTATTATATTACCTTTTTACTCCCAAAATTTTCTATCTAAGCCTCTTTTATAGCATAGCACACCATCAATTGCTAACGCATGTCCTATAAAATACGACAAATCACATGCAACCTTATTTGCATAAAGGAATAAAGAAGGGAGCCATTTTTGACTCCATGATTCCGCCGCTCCTCATTCTCGAAATTAGGCCTCAATTAAATTGCCTTCAAGATCTCGTTGACCTCCAATTGATCTTCTTTATTGATGGATCAAGCACAATACTGATGAAAAAAAAAAAAACTCCCAACCAATTTGAACTCTAATTACACAAAATCGGCAAGAAAAAGAATGGGATAATACAATTATAAAAGTAATAATTAAAGGGTTTGAATCCCAATCCTCAATTTAGATGAACAAAAACAAATGGAAAATAGACAGTGGTGTAAGATCAAGTAATTATCTGCATAAAAGTTATCTATTGATGATTAATTAATTGAGTATAAAAATGATGAAAAAAATATATTCATTTTTAGATGTTGTAAATGTGTTCCAACGTAGAGACAGGTTGCACGACCTTCTTTGCTAAATTGTGCCTCAACTGCTATCTGCAACATAAAAATTATGCTTATAGTCATGGGACACTAAAAAGTTGTTAATCAAAAAAAGAAATTGAAAAATCACATTAAAGAGATAAAAAGAAAATGCCAAATTGTCCACCTATGTAAATTTGTACATGCCTGAAGTAGGAGAAACCTTTGACATTGCAGAAAAGGTTGCAAAATCATCGTACTTCTAGAATTACCAATCTACCTTTGATCTTAAAATTCCGTTTACCTCAATGGTAGGTGAAGCTACTGCACCAATCCCATCTCATTTTGAGCCCTTAACACCAGACCACACTAAAAAAAGTGACCGAGCAAAGTTGTTCACCAATTTAAATTTGTTTGAGGTAATAACAATTCAGAGCTCCAAAATTTTCAATTGGCAGTTGATCTCTCTACTCCACCTTGCCCAATGCTAGATGAATCAAAGCGCATAATTCATCTTCATTTTCAGCTTGTTAAACCAGATGAAACGATGAAAACTGACAAGTTAAGTTACGGATTGTAGTGCAAAAAGAAATTGCTGAATCGTCAGAATAATTATTCGGAGCTGGTTGAAAAGCTTCCTCTACCATCATGTAATTGGAGGAAATGGAAATTTCAATGAAGAAGAATAGTCAATAAAATCTACCAGGTGTTAGGAAAAATGTTCACCTCCTCAAACAATCAAAAAAAAAAAAAAACTAAATTTTACCTTTGCATGTGAAATTCTGCATCAGCCGGAACAAATTTAATGCAATAGTTACAATTTTTCTAAATTAAATCATGATCAGCGAGTACCATCAGTCTCCTTTCCCTACCAAAAATAATAATAATAAAAAAAAAATTAAAAGCCAAGAAATGAAAAGAGAAGCAAATGAAATTGGAGGTCAATGATACATATCTGAATGCAACAACACAAAGAAAAACTTTGGATACAAATATACAACACCTTATAAAAAATAAATTTCGGTTCCTTTCTCAAATATTATATGCAATTATCATAAATAAGGCCTCCTGTTTATGCAAGAAAAATTACGGCACATATTGAAAAATTTATAAGCGGATAAAACGAACATAGTAAATGAGTTTCGATTGTGGCACATTTTGAAGCCTATCGACCAAGGCAAACGTCAAACGAAAGAAAGCCATTGAACTTGTTTCCAGGCTCTACCTGCATTTGAACTTAATAATATTTTTAGACACAAAAAAAAAAAAAAAACCTAAACGATAAATGACTCCACCTAACTAATTTTGCTTACCTTCCATAGATGCTTCCATTAACCATATGAGAGGAGAAGGATGGCGGAAGAATAAAAAGATCATTCTTTTTCTTCCAACAAATTTAATTAAAGTTCTAAACAAAAAAAATAAAACCTAAATAATAATTAAAAAGTATTGCTCCACATAAATAGCTGTATTACTAACCTGGTGTAGATGTTTCCATTAACCAAATGAGAGAAGGTAAACGAAAGGAGCAAGGGGGCTCATTGAGAGATTTAGGGATTCTTGAGATTTTAAAGATTCAAAACTGTATTCAACTTCAAATTTGTGATCTGTGATGGGTTTATCTAATCTTATGGTTTTGATTTGGTGAATTAAATCGTTGAAAGAAAATAAAATATAGTCATAGAAAGAAAGATAGTATCTATGTTATAGATTTGGTTAAGATAACATAAGATCGGGTAAAATTTGTTACAGAATATTTGAAAACAGAATCTTCTACCGGATGATTACTTAAGCAAGATATCTTTTTTCCTTAGAGTTTTTTAAACGAAGATAAAACTTTTTTTTTTCTTTTTAATAAATCAAAAAATAGAGAACATTGTCAGTCCTATGTGGCAATTGGAAAACTATCCCAGTTTTCTCTATCTGGATTTTCTTTTATTAAGTCACTAGTGATGTCTGGTCGCGCAATGCGCGACTCTGGTCCAGTCTATACTTAGTTTTAGAGATTTTTAATAGATTTGTAATAAGTTTCATCCGAAGGGTATACGCTTAAAACAAAATTGATACTTTGTAACAAAAACTTAATTGATCAATTCAATTTAGGCTCCATAATTAAGAAAAGAAAACCACTCTAATTGAATGAAACATAAAAGAAAAATTTTTTAAAAAAAAACGTGTCACGTAAAGTGCAAAAGGGGATTTAGTAATTTAATTATGGTTAGACAAAAGGGCAATTTAGTACTTTTTTCATGTCACGTGGCAATTATAGGAGGTGTTTGAGAAGGGGGTTTTTATTTCTAATCTAGTAAGATATAGATATAGATAGATAGATATATAGATAGATGTATAGATATGCAACTAACTTTCAACAAAAAAAAAGGATATAATCTTTCAAAAAACAAAACAAAAAAAATCCAAAGAAAATTCTGAAAAGCGCAACTGAAAATTATCTTTCTAGAAAAATTTAAACGTATTGAAAATTATCCAATTGGCTCAAGGTATGATTGGTTAGTGGGCAACGGAGAGAAATTGTGGACTGCTCTGTTCATTTGGTCAAGATTAAATGTACTTGAAACACGCATTGTAACTTGACTAATGTGGCAGAATCAGTTGTAGGCGAAAGTCAGGCCGCTGAAATTTAATATTCTTGTATTTGATATTAGTTGTCCTCTATATTATCAATATGATGAATCAATCGCTCGTCTTTTTTTTGAATGTACTTATGATGCTGGTTTACTTGAGTACATGAGACTTGGAGTATAGAAGTTCCATTAATCTAAAATTTGATGGCAGAAGGAAGCAATGATAGTTTGAAGGCAGACAAAGCTAAAGAAACTGATATTTCGAGCCACAGTTGCTGCACGTATTTATCATTTGTGGAAAGAGAGGAATCAAAGAATCTTTTCATCCTTAAAGATTCATCCAATTTTTCTTGCTTCTCCTTTTTTCTTTGATGTCGGTTCAGTGAAGATCTTGAAAACAGTATTAGTGGTTGAATCCAAATCACTTTTTCTTAGATCGGGCAGCAACCTGGGCTCTGATTCCAAATTTCATTTTTAATGCAATGTTGGAGTGGACTTAATTGTTCTTGTTTTGGCAAATGGTGCATGATAAGCATTGAGATGAATTGCCAAAGTTTAAATTCCCGTACCAATGATGTTATCATGTCTCTACATTTTGTTTATTCGCTTTCGCTTATTTGGATTGGGTCCTACTGAATGAAATAACTGTTCCATCTTTTTTAGCCATTACGACTGTTTTAGTCGCGAATGTTTTAAGAATAAAAAAAAGAAATAGTTGAAAATAAAAAGAAGTCATGGGTAGTTCTAATATCGTTTGAAGGAAAACTTTTTAAAATAATATTCAAAAGTATTATTAGAAAAGAAATAGTTGAAAATAAAAAGAAGCCATGGGTAGTTCTAATATCGTTTGAAGGAAAATTTTTTAAAATAATATTCAAAAGTATTATTAGAAAAAATGAAAAGGAAAAAGAGTATTATTACATGAATGAAATTTTGTTTGTGAAAAAAAAATTGTATTTTGTAAGTTGGAGGGGAAGCCTTGCTGGGCCTTTCCCTCCCGTTATGGTACTTTGAGAAGTTCACGTAATATTTTTTATGGCATCTAACGGTACATAATTTATTCAGCTCAGCAATGATAGGGACAATGACAATTTATAGTGAAATGAGATAGTGACTTGTGAAAAGATAAAAACACCACCTCCATTACACATGTGTACTTATTAATTAAGGGTAAAAAGATAATTTTAATGAAAAATAAAATTTTAATGAGAAAGTAGTAAAAAAAAAAAAATAGGGGATCATAATATTTCGCATGAGTTGTTTTTTTCTTTCACGACTTTTTTGTCACTATACTTATCAGAATGGGTACTTTATAAGTTGACCGCTAGTCAAGGGGGCATATAGTGAAATTTTAAAAATTTGAGGGGTAAATAGTAGAAATGTCAAAAGTCAGGGGGGAAATTGTATTTCGCACCCCCAAAAAAAGACTACAGATACGGGGGTACATCGGTGAGGTTTTAAGAAGGCCGGTGTTGAGCCGGCAAAACTAGTGGAGATGGATCACTATGGCGGAGGCAGCTGGACTATGATTTCAAACGTACAGAATCACGGCGTCGGCGGAGGAGCCAGCAGTAACCCTTCCACACCCTCCTCCTCCAACCCTCACCACCACCACCATCACCAGCAGCACGATCTCTACACTATTCAACAGCAAGCCCCGCCGCAGCAGCAATTTTATCAACAGCGGGTCCAGCAGCAGCAGCAGCCGCCACACCAATCCTTATCCTCCCACTTCCATCTCTCGCAAGTTGGTTCCTTTGTCTCTATTAACCTATTGAATGATTTATTTTGAACACCTTTCTTTTGCCTTTTTAATTCAGTTTTTGTCTCTCTTCGTATATGTGAAATCGAAAGTTTTACTCTAGATCGACGTTGACAGTTGGTGGAGAATTTGGCGGAAGTCACTGAAAATGGGAGTAGGGATCAGCATTCAGATGCATTAGTCAGTACCCGTCTTTTCCCCCAATTGGCCCCTCGTTGTTGTCTCAGTACAGTTTCCACTTTCCATATCCATTCTGCTAATATATCTCGGTTTCCATTATTATTCCTAAAAAGGTTGCAGAATTGACCAGTCAGTTTGACAAATGCCAGCAGCTGCTTAATTCCATGTCAGGCTCTATTAACTCAAGATCCATGGTAAATTTAACTGGGACTTTTGCACAACTTTCGGACTCTTTTGATGTTTTTTTCTGTTTTGAGTTAAGATCCCTTACATCTAGATTGGCTTATTCAAGAGCTGAACCTATTGTAAAATGTGCTTTTATGTTGGAAATCGTATCTCAGATCTTTTTGGTGCACTTTTGATCCAGCAACTCTATCTAAATTTATTGGTGTTCATATTGTTAAATACAAACTGAAATCCTGATTAGTAAAATCTGAGAGGTAACTTATTGTGCACTCTCTCATAGCAACTGTATGGTCCTCAAATGGATGCAGAACATCTTTTCTCCAGATTTGAATCGATTACCTTGTTTGCAACAGCCTTAGCATTTGATTGTACTTACCTGTTGTGCAATGTTCTTTAGACTTTGGAGGGACAGAAGTGCCAAATGGAGGAATGTGACCACTTATCGAAACAGAGAAGGTGCATTGCTCTATAGTTCTTTTTTCATCACTTGGTCCTCAAATATTTATTCACATCTTTTTTTTCTTTCTTTTTTTTTTTTACCTCATGCGGGTTTTCTTTTACTCTTTTTCGATTGCAGAGATCTTATTTCAAAATATCGTAGCTCAGTTGAAAAGCTTATCAATCCGGAGCTCTAACTATGGGCAATCTTCGTGTCCCACGGCGTGGACAGGATGTGGTTACTATTTTTTCCATTAGACTTTAGGGTTGAAAAGATCCCCAACAGTAACCAATGCTACCAGTTTCCTGTTTGTCAACCAAGTCTCGGTCATGGCGCCTCTGTTTTTTTTTTGTCTTTAGGGTATAAGAACCTTATACCAAGTGGAAATTTCAACAAAGAGCTTCATATGTTTTCATTCATGGGTTTGTGTTTTTCTTGGACCTCTATCTGGGCACGCTTCCACAGAAAAGAGATTTTATCTTGTCAAAGTTACCTTGGATTCTCGTCTCAAAACCACTTGGCAATGAGTGGGATGGCCTTTGGCACTAGTTACCTTGGGCTTCTATCTTAAAACCACTTGACAATGAGTGGGATGGCCTTTGGCACTTATAAACAGGTGACGGATCTTTCACGATACCGATGTGGGATTCTTTTTGTCCCAACACCCTCTCTCAACCCAATGGGGTATTTGGCCCATTAGGGTTGCACAACATAACATAATTTATCAGATATACTGCTGGGTCAGTCAACAAGCCCGTACACACGGGTACATACTCTGAATATACTGTCGGATCAGTAACAAGCTCACCCAGGTGCACGGAAGCGATTGACGCAAGTCCAAGGCATACGGATCCAAGCCCGCACACGCGGATCCATAATTATCACAGGTCCACAGATCGTGGGCTCTGATACCATGTTAAAGTCACCTTGGACTCCCATCTCAAAACCAATTGACAATGAGTGAGGTAGCTTTTGACACTTATAAATAAGTGACAGATCTTTCACGACACCGATGTGAAATTCTTTTTGTCCCAACACATCCATCAGACTTGATTGCCCTTCATGCCATCACGCTTTTTTCCAGCTTCTCTCATTATAAGCACAATGCGTTGTGAGTAGTATAGTTGATGAGTTAACAATGCAAGTGGCTGGTAATCTTATAAAAGGAAACTGGTTGGAAATGGATCCATGAATAAGGAGCACATTGCCTTATCTCACTCCATCTCTCATTTAGGGAGTATACGTTGCTAGCTGTACAACTGGTAATCCTGGTATTATATTCTCAAAGTGATTGCAACCCTGCCTTGGGAACAGATTGAGGAAAGTAATTTCAAAAAATAGGGGCACAATCTTGTTCTTCCTGTTGTGTTGGGGGGATGGATGAAATGTAGGTTTGAATTCACGATCAAAAATCCATTTATTACGATTTAATATTCCTTCCATTTTGAAGATAGAAGACATGCACACAGTTTAAGAAATGCTCTCCAAGATACAAATGCTTGGATAAAGGATCTGATCTCTCCAAAGCCCTAAATAATACTCTTCACCTCGCTTAAAGTACACCTTTGGTGTGGGAGGGCACATCTTTTCATTCAGTCCTAATTTGAAAAGATTATGTTGCTACAAAAGCTCTCTGGTTACAAAGAACTTAAGCTGGTAGTACATATTTTTATTAGAAAGGGAATGAGGTTACTTGTTAGAAAGCTTTCCTCATGTTTTTACCAAGAAATTAGGTTTAGGCTTTGATTCCTGTTGATGCAAAGATGTGTGCTAATACAAGTTCCTGCCTCTTTTCTTCCCTCCACCGTTGGAAGCCTGTACTTTTGAATGGGTAAAAATTCTACTAACATTATATTGAAATTAGAATTTCTTATAATTCTACTAAAACGAACTTATTTCAAAAAAGAAAAAAAAAATGAATGGAGTATTAAAAATTTGAACTAATACCATAGGACGAGGTGAATATGATGTCGTGCCAATGCTGTAAGGGCCTAAGGGGAATGTCCATTCAATTTGTCGTTTTCATATGGATAAATATTATGTTGGGGGTAACAAAACATCTGACTATTGTTATGAGGTTAAGAATTTATAGTGATGCCAAATGAAAGCAACAAGAGTCCATGCAACTCAAATCTGAAACATTGGATATGCAAAATAGCAATCACAATCACGGAATTTGATAGCTAATTTCTACAGTTAAATTTCTTTTTTCCTTGCTAAATGAAATTACTCTACACAAAACAAAAAATAAGAGGGGGGATAAAAAAAACAAAAACAAAACGGAACAAAAAGAGAAGCCCTAGTCCTAACCATCAGTTGTACTACTCTACAATGTCACGTGCAATTCAAAATGAACTATAAATGAAAGTTGTTCAAGATTTGTACAAAGATTACACATCAAAGTCTCGGAACTACCAATGCACCAACACATATTGGCTCTATATATAACTATTGATATGTTCTAGTGTGCACCTCAACATAATATTTGGTCATAATCCCCGTGAAGATGTACAAAATCAAATAAAACAAAGACAAAATTCAAGCCATGAAAACCACCACCACCACTTTATGTCCTTATGAGGTCAGTGGCTTTACGAACCAAAGGTTGTTGAAAAAGTTCAGAAAGTATATTATAAAAAAAAAAAAAAAAAAAAGGAACCATCCCCCAAAAAAATTGAAAATCACAACCACTTCCTATTTGGTCAACCAATAAATTAAAATTAAAAACGTGCAGACGGCTGCAACCAATGAAAGGATTATTGTATCCATTGACTTTTTCTTCTTTATAGCAGCCAGAATATGGTTAACCTGTGAAATGTTTAGGCATAAGCAGAAATTCAGAAAGTACATTATAAAATTTAGAAAGAAAAAGAAAAGAAAACAAACTCTCTTCCTAGAGGATGTTGAACCCAACTCCCAGAAAGTAAATCAGCAGAATCCTAAAAATCAAACAACAATTTACGGAGTAATAGCTTCCTTACAGTGGGAAGGCGGCTGCCCACATTACTAAGCTTCGTACTAATACCCCCGAATGTTGACCGTTGAAACATAAGCGTCTTGAGAGTTTCCTGTGCTTGAGAAATGACATTGTCCATCTGACAAAGGAAACTAATTTAGATTCAAACAATCTATGATCCATGGAATATATCAAATCAAAGAGCCAGGAATACACCAATAACTTCACATTGAAGTATGCATTGAAAATAAATCAGCTAATTGGTTATCACACCACAGAGTAACCTAAGAAATTCACATTTACTTTCTTAGCATATGTAGAATGCCGCACCAGTTTCTTTGTTGGGTAATTAGATCAAATATCAACTATCAATATCAAGTCAAACCACTACAAACTTGACAAGTCAGATGCTAACTCAGACAACATTACAACAAGGGAGCTTGAAGTGTAATCCTCTGCAAAGAAAAGAAATGATCATTAACTTGGCCGTCAGCTTAAAAAGGATCCCTAGCTGAAGAACTGAAAGCATCCAATCATTACAGATTGAAGGTTCTACGAAGCAGAAAATTGCATTGGTGATCTTACCCCATTTAATAGGGGTGGTTCACCTCGCAAGCTTGCTTCAGCTTGGACATAAAGGGCTTGCCTAACTATTAACTGCATGATGTAACATGTTCTTGCATCTACTCCACCTAGTATTATCGTAGTATTACAAATTTCAAAAAGACACTTCAAACAAAAACCCATGTCTAGTTGAGCAAAATATGGAACCAGGCTCAATTGCCGGAAAACGAATCTGAGCAATTGCATTGCCAAGGCAGGAAAAGGAATCTCAACTAGCAAATGTCTAATTGGGCAAAATATGGAACCAAGCTCCCCAAAATATCTGTATTCTAGAGCCCTGGATGGAAAATCAGCACGCAAATCCTTACACACACACAAACAGCCCATGAAGGGTACTTTATCAAAAGGGAAACTTTCTTAAAAGGACCCTCTTGCAGGAAGTTTAATCAAAAGGGTATGAATTTGTTCTTTACACTGTAAACGGAAATTATCCTGAATTAGAACATGTATACATTATCTTTTACATTAAATCACAGAAAAATCCTCTACCCCAAAGATTTGTGCTTCATTCGTCATTTCTGATATTTTAATAGCTAAACTTTATCCAGGAAACAAACATTTGGGTTACAAACTTACGATCCAAGATGATGTGTGTTAAAAATCTAAGTGGTATATGAATTCTCTGTGGTGTAATCCTTATACAACTTCAAAATTGGAAGCAACCACATTAATAGTTGCATGTACTTCTATATCTATATATAATAAAACTATATGAACGAAATGAACCTTGACAGTAACCAGAAACACCAAGCAATTATACTAGAGTATCATACAAGATTGGCCTCACCTGCCCAGTACTCCTACTAACAGAGGCATGCTCCTTTAGCAGCTCTTGCTCATAAGAACCACCACCATCTTCCAAATCTAATCTTGTCCTATCAAACTCCCTAAAATCCTCAAGCAATGAAGCATGCTGTTTCTTTGCTCTATGGCTGGAACGGAGCCGATTGAACTCCTACACAAAAGGAGAAGGAAAATAGACAACTAAATTATTAGTTGTTGGCTGATATGCTTTGCGTGTTAGAGGATAAGTTTCTCAAATGTAATTTAGAGATAAATCAGGGACCTGAGAAACATCCTGAAAGATTTCCAAATGTCGAGTTAATGTATGGGAAAATATTTCTGATCCTCCTGATGAAACCCAAGCTTGCATTTGAAAAGTCACTTGTTGGAGATGTTTGAGAAGTTGATCGATTCCGGATTCAAGATCACTGTCATTAGAGTTTTCAATCTTTGTAGAAACTAATTTACGATACAAGTGCATCTGCTCATCCAATTGTGCTTCAAGCTTCCTCGCCTAAGATAAGATATAAGAAAAAGATAAAACAAACTGAAGATCTGGCCAAAACAAATAAACAAAATATATAACTGATCCCATGGATATAAGAATCCCTGCTTGGATACTTTGCCCAACCCAAACCAAACAACATCATCGGGAAAATTTTGCAATCAGCGAGTATAAATAACAAGAGTGGACCCCGAGGATGCATTTTGATAGGTTCATCCTCCATAGTTAGTTTTTAGGTAGAGGAGATGGCATAGCCTGTGAAAGTTATGCACGCAGAAGCTCAAAAAGCAGCAAGATACCAAACTTAAAATGGAAAAAGGCTTCAGCACAACAGAAGAATCCAACAAAGAGAGATAGGAAAGCTCTAGTGCACAAGATCTGCCACTGTTTTCGGCAAACTAGTCATTCTAGATATTTGGAAGGCTGGGCTGCAAGAACAACATGTACTGAAACTTCTTCAACCATGTCACATCATAGACCTGATGATATATATAATGGGTTTCAAAAGGGGAGAGCCGCGCACAAAATAGCTTAGCCCTTGCGCAAGACCTGGAGAAGGTTCGAGCCTTAGAGCCTAGAGTACACATCTTATTCAGTATTTATCATAGGTTTAATTGGGACATGTTGCAGGGAATACAATGATGTGCAGTCCCTCTCCTCTATATTGTCATTAACATATAGGACTATACCTTAAGAGTATGCAAATCCAACAACCATACTTCGCTACATCAACTTTCAGTTGATGGCAGTTAAATTGACAAGGGGGCGTTCCTATTTTGTAGCTTACAGCATGTTAACTAACAACTAGTCACTCACACAAAAGCTCCAAACGTTTAGCGGGCAACATCAAACAACCAAGACCAAAAGAACCAAAAGAAGTTAGTTCAGGGGCTTCTCAAATACGAAACCCCATTCCTAATGGCCATCAAAAGACAAAAAAGAAAGATCAAATCTTGTTTTGAATTTGAATTACTAAAAGGGTCAAGGTATCACCATCATGAACAATCATCATCATTTAATTGTTTGAATAAGAGATGGATGGATCACAAAAGCATAATTATGGAAATCAAAACAAAAATCAAATGGGGTAAAACCGAAAAGAGTACCTGCTTGCTGAGGGAGTCCCAAGAGGTTGGAGGATCAACATCTCTTGTGACGGAGAATGAATGAGCATGCATCCCTCCTCCGCGATTAAACAAAATAGATGATTAATTTGTTTCCAGGCAAAACCAAACCCCTCAGAAGATAATACAATTTGAACGAATCAAGAGAATCGAAGATTGGCAGGAATAATGAATTCGTCCAGCTCTCCTCCTGCCAATCTGACCATTCAATTTTTTTTATTTATTGGGGTTCATGAATGTGATATTGAGTTGCAGACTTTTTTGTGTATGCAGTCTGCCGTGTAAATTAAGGAAAATTATTATGCACAATAATCATAATTTTACTCTTATTTTTCTTTTTTGGTTTGAATAAATAACCGTAATTTTATTAATTATTATTAGTATTACACTACAGTATAGAGCTTGGGCTGACGTTTGTGACGTATGAAGTATGCCGGTCTAGTTTTCATTCAAACAACCACTCAGAACTCGCGCAAACCGGTCAAATAGGCTGTTTCCCGTTTCAACTTGATAGTTTTTTTTTCCCTTTATAGTAGCAGTCTGTGTACATAAAGTAAATAAATGTATTTTGGTGAGTTTACAATCTCGAATGTGATTGGTTAGAAATTTAATTGAGCAATTTAATTGACCCATTAGTATAGATGATGTCATCAATTTTAAACTTATAGGCATTTGATTGGTTAATATATTGACATTGACATCATCAATTTAAAACAGGGTTATACTTGTCAATTACTAAATTGATTTTCATTTTTTTTGCCAACCAGGCGGCAGAAACGACGTCGTTTGACGCATATAAATACTGGTGGCATGACCATAATGCGACGATGGTTTAAGCAGAGCTTTTCAAATCAGTTTCTTGCTCCGCTGGCCCCCGTTTTGCTTTTCTCACCGGCTTTTGATTGTGGAGTAGACCAAATCAGATTAAGGTGAGGTCGGTTTGTGTTGGCTTTACGATGGTGGAGATTTTGATGCCTCAATCTTCAGCCGATGGTTTGTAAAGCAATAGACAATTGATGATGGTAGTAGTGGACTCTACGGTAGCAATCCGACGACTAGGGTGGGGTTGTTAGTATCCAAATCTTGTGGTGGTGATAATGACGAATTCTTCTGTTTGATTTTGAGTCAGTTTGATGTGATATTGAATCAATATACTTGATTATTAATCAAATACTCCCTCCGTCCCATAATTATTGTCCAATTTGGATTTTCATTTCTAGTTCAAATTATACTAAAAGTGAAATCTCAAATTGGACAATAATTTTGGGACAGAGGGAGTATATTTTAGTAGTTTTCTTAATTTAATTTGCCAATATGTTTATTTTGTATTCCACTATCGTACGTCACAATTGCTTGCTTTTGATATTGTGATCCCCTATGTATGGTTACTTGTTTTCGTTAATGTTGTGCTGGTTGAAATATGGTATGGTTCCAATGTACCTTCAAAAACAGTTCTTTTATGAATATATGTTTATGAATTGAATGAGAAAATTAATGGTGCTGATCCTCGTAAAGTTTGTTGCTTTTACATCACATTTGTCATCTATTAGTTCCCAGATATTCTTCTGAGTGGAAGATTTAACGTTTTAAACATTATGAATATTTGTTTATGAATTGAATGAGAAAATTAATGGTGTTGATCCTTGTAAAGTTGGTGTTTTTGCATCACATTTGTCATCTATTAGTTCCTCATATATTCTTCTCAGTGGAAGATTTAACGTTTTAAACATTAAAATTTTAATCTACGAAAGATTCGTTTGTATTTCATAATGTTTTAATAACCATGGTTATCGATAACATTCTGTTCACTGACTATTACTAACCAGTTTTTGGTTGTGATATTTTCAGGGGAGAAACTGGTCGTGCTTATTAATGGGGTACTTTGCACCATGGATAGTTTGGTGTGAATTACAGTCTCAATTGCAGCAAATAATGCTTTTGAGAGAACACATGTTAGCAAAAAGTGGTTATGGTTTTTTTTTTTTTCTTTTAGGAATTCTTCTATTTCCATTCAAATGCGTTCTTTTTTTCAGGAAGTTACTTATTACAGTTCTTCATTTCGCTGAGTAAATTGAGAAGTGATATTTTTCTCAATTAAAAGTTTAATTATATTGTTGTAGATTAAACTATATGATTATGGTTGTGTTTAAAAAGGTAGAAATTTACATTAAATCATCACAAATCAAGGTTTCAAGTGCATGCATCAGACATATGAAGCTTATTAAGGAAGAAATTAAATATTTGCCGCCACTGGTTGGACGTAGCCCGACAAAAACAAATCTAGTATATATAACCGTGAGAAAAAAAATCACCGAGAACTTTTTTTTGAAATACAAATATCTTTTTGATATTTTTTTGACACATCAGTTACATACATTAATTTTAATTGCTGAAAGACCCTTTTAATAATTCACTTACTAATTGAGGGATATTTTTTTATATTTCTTTAAAGAGCAAAAGTACTTTACCAAATCAAGTTAAACTCGGGAGTAAAATGACAATGATATTAACCCTTAAACTTATAACTTCTAGACTAAAATGGCAAACGACTCCATCCCAGCCATCCTCCAGAATGGCAATAATACCATACATCATAATACAGTGCCAAAAAGTAAATTTCAAATGGCAATAATAGCTGCTTCTTTTTTTTCCCAAAAATAAACATAAGAAAAAAAAAATGACATGCAAATTTCCTGAGCCCGATGATAATTCCAGCTATACCACTCAATCACTGCAATCTACAAAATCTGCAGAGTTTCTTCTACACAAGATTTTACAGAATTCCATTCTCCAAATCATTTCTCCCAGGTTCCTTCGGGTGGGGGCTTTCACGAACTTCATTACGGGGAATAGTTAACAGAATCCTGAGCTTTTTCGAACTTCCTGCTTCTCCTTCACGGTAATATCTTCTTGCTCCGACTTCATTTCTGTATAATTATTAAGTTTTGTACACTGTTTCTCTTCCATTTCTATATCAGCTGAAATGCATGCTGCCGAAGCTAGAGTACCCCGTCTCAGGCACTTTGATTCTTCTGCAACAGCATTATTAGCAGCTGTCACATGATCTTCTCCTCCAGCTGCTGGGGTCTGCCTCAGAATTCGAATTAGCTCCCGATCACAGGCTTCAAGAGGGAGGAGTTCATCTCTCAGGGTTCCACTAGCACCCTTGTTGTTGGTTACAAAAGCATATGCCGAATCCCGTGCCCTTTCAGAAAGTAGTTTTGCTACCTAAATGGGATATTACAAAAACACGAAGAATGGTTTTCTTAAGACTCTATTCAACACAATATCAAACCTCATAAACATCTAACACAAGTTGAGTACGACCTCATTATATAGGTGGGCCATATGTAGCCGGTCAGGACTCCTATCAAAAGCAGCTGCAGTTATATCTTCGGAAGCTGAGAAAAAAAAGGAAAAAGAAAAAGGAGAAAGTTACACGATTCATGATATTCATAACATTCACATGATGCCACTAACTGCCATTGGGTTTCCCCACTTCCATTTCAATCTGATTTAACTTGTTTTAACTTGTAGGTTAAGAGAACTCTACAATACAACTTTGTTTAAAGGACAATAAACGAGTAAAACTTCCGTATATATCTCATCTAGAAAGAAGAAAACAGAAAGACACTTTTTCTGGCCTGCCAGTTAGACACCACAGATCTCTCGTTCCTATGTGGAAGTCCAAGACTTCAAGCAAGTACAATGAGTTATGAGAATAGCTAGTTGCTCTCCTATACTTGAGAGCAACCAACAATAGCTAGTAAATTTATACTCACATATGATTTCCATATCTGGCAGGCATCCGAGAAGCTGGTTTAGAGACTCATTTAGTTCAGGAGCAGTCATGTCTTTTCCCCTGAAATCGGTCTCCATCGAATCACTAGGCATCTCATTAGATTTTTCATCACCCTGTGACAATTGTAGCACAAACAGAAATTGTAGTAAAACAGATGGAAAGTTACACGATGGTATCTGAAAACCCATCACCACTCAATTTCAAAATTGAATGACATAATAATCAACAAGGTTATATCAAGTTAAAAGACACTGAAATTGTACATACAGATAACATCTGAAGAACTTACAAATACTTCTTTTTGATATTCAGCATTAAGGGCTTTCTCTAAAAGGAGGACCCTCTTCTTGATAAACTCAACCTGCCGTCTCTGCATCTCTCTAAAATGGTACAACATGGAAGAATCCTGGAAATACTGTGACTGGGTCGTGGAATCCGATGTTCCTTGAGCAACACCTGTTCCATTAAAATTTTGATTACCAACATTATTAGGCAACGCTTCTGCGTTATTCGGATTTGCTCCAATTTGTTCTTGACCTCCGGGTTCTGAAACATTAACTTGAGAAACCTCAGGCGTAACAGATGTTTGTGGAGCACTGGAAGCAGCAGAGTGAGCTTGAGGAGCTCCGACGACTGGCAGTTTAATTAAAGGAAGATTCAGCTCTTTACAAATGAGCTCCTGGATCCTCAAGTCCTTGTCATCAACTATTGCTTGCCATCTACCATAACCGTGCCTTCACATCCATACCAATCAAACATCAAAAAGGTCCATAAACATGAGAGCAATAGAGAAACTAAAAAACTTCACAGCTTTCATCTTTTAGAAAATCAATTAGCATCTGTTTCAAGAAGAAGTAAACACACAAAACAACTAAAAGAAAATGGCAACAGAATCAACACAACCATAATCACGTAATCAACAAAAACAAGCCTTTTTCCCACCATGTGGGGTTGGTTAATCACTTCATCAGAGATTAAATAATATTTGAAGCAGAAGTACAAAGAAATTGCATAGTCAAGATCTAGGTCCAACCTACTTTCTATAATTATTTCAATACATCCCATTTTATTCTTCAACCTCTTGCTTCTTTTCCCTAACATTACTTCTCAATGTATCATTTCACCTACAAACCAACCCATTCATCTAAAATAAAAAGATGAGACATACTTCAGTACAGCTTGCAAAAGTAGCAGATCATGCTCAACCTTCCAAAGTCTTCCACCCTTCAGACCAGGAAACCGAGACACAATGTCATCCGTAAAAAGGCCAACAGAAGGTTCTTTGCATGCAGCCTTCACCTGCCCAGCACAGAAACTGGTCTATCAGAATCTTCTAAAACTAAGAGCAGTAAAACAACCCATGAAATTCAATTTTCCTTTTTATCAAATTAATTCAATTTCGGGCTAATAACCCAAAAAAAATAAATGAGAAAACACAAAGGTAGATTTCACATGATAAATTTGAACCAAGACAGATGTTTACAAAACATAATTATTCAGCAGCCATCTCAGCGGAATGATGATTATCATTTCTACCATTGTTTCACTCTTTTGTCCAACATTCCCTTCTCATTTTCATATTATCTAAAAATAGAGGCGGAGAAAACGTAAATTATCCCTCTCTAGGATGCTTTGAAGTAGATGATCAACCTGTTGATGTTCCCGAATTGAGAATTCAGAAACTTAAGAGCTTAAGGATATTATTGCAGATATGCAAGTGTGACACCTTACAAAGTGAGAAGCAATTTGATACCCCCAGACAATTCCTAAACTAACTGAAACTTCCAGTTTCAATGTACATGAATCACCTATTTCATCATCCACAGACGAATGGAAAACTTACTTTCTCTCGTATCAGAAGTAAAACAGCAATTCTGACAAGCACGTCAGTTATCCTGAGTCCTTCTTTAGGTACACCATCTGCAGCAAGGAAAATTAAGGTTCATTCAATATGTAGCAAAACTTAAAAGTGAAAAGAAACATGAGTAACTAGGATAAAAAAACATTTAATCCGAAATAAACAAGAAAAGTCAATAATCACCGGAAAATGTTGGTGAATCTGTGATATCTTCGGATATGTGAGATAAGAAAAGCATCCCGTAACTGCAATACAGGACGGAATTGTCATCTTTCTGAATAGCTATACTACATCATACATATGCATTTCATTTTCTACAATAGAAAACAGATCATCTATCAGGTAAGATATTCTTTTAAATAAAAAAGAAGAAAATGGAAAAAGCAGCAGATCAACACTTCATCATTATCTTCCCAGACTTACCAGCCTAAAAATGAAAGAATACCTTAACAGATAGCTGACAAATCATTTGCCGTTTCTACCGTATGTCACAAATTCCTCTACTTTTTACAATCTCTTTCACATAACAAAACAAACAATATAAAACAAAGAATAGACATTGTTTAGACCTTTTAACACCTGAATCCCAACTTTTTTGTTGTATATTCTACATGGATTTCTAAATTTCTACACACAACTTTTGCCATTGGCCACAACCACAATATGTAATGAAAGAAAGTTAATCAAAATTCGTAAAACTCATCTATATTAGACAATCCTCAACCCAACACTTCAACCATAAACTAAAATTATCCATCTCAGTATAAAACAACCAAAAGTCAAGTGAAGTAAACACTTCAGTGAATTCATTACTTAATAAGAATGCAGATAGACTAGAGAATTTACATCTAAGATTACAATACCAAATAAAGAGCTGGCAGTTCAGAATTTAATAACAATAAAGCTGAGACTAAAGTGATCTGAGTTCCGATAGATCTGAAAATGAAACCTGAACAGGTAAGAATATATCAGAAGAAGTCACATACTCTCTGATCTCTTCATAACTTTTCTGCTTTAAACGAGGTGTGAACTCTGCCCAATCAAACTCTCCAACCCCAAATCTGAGAATCGCACAATGAAGATGAAAACACGGTTCACAGACAGGCAAAGGTGCTGCAGCAATTAAGCTGCCAAATTTCTTCAGGGCCCAAAGCAAACAAACCAACCCCCAAAAAAAAAAAAAACAGAAAAACACAAGCAAACCTCATCAGGATTTGGACAAACACAGCTCTGTGGTTTTGATTGAACCCCAGCACTCTGAACGACTTCCCCTCACCTTCCATCAAAGGAAGTGGCTCAGATGGATCCACTGAAAAGATAAGAAGAAAAGACTCACAATTAGCGGATGTTACATCTTTGACAAGTTCATTAAATAAAACCAGCCAAAGCAGAAGTATACAGCGCGCTCTCTTCCTGTACGGTCTCCTCACTAATGGAGCTCCAGCAGGAGCAATCTCACCATCCGTCAAGTCAACTTCATAATTGTCATCCTCCCCATCAGAACTTACATCTTCCAAGCCTGCAAGATCATCTTCCTCCACAGAAACCATCTACAAGGACAAAAAAAAGCATCTAAGTTGAACTTTGTTTCGGGCACAAGCGTAAACGAAAGTTTGATTTTTCCAACCAGACAAAAAGTAGGACCGAGAAATGGAAAAAGAAAACGGGGGTGCATGTGCGTATCCTGCCAAACCTGTTTTCGGCTTCTCTTGCCCTTTCCCATGGAATTCAGCTCTTCTACTTTGTGAACTTCGTATCTGTCCTTCAGTAAATCCTCCCAGTAATTTGCTCTTTCAGAATTGTTGACGGAGGCTTTGTTCTCAGATGAAGGCCCCGGTGCTTCCTCTTCTGCTCCAGCTTCAACTTCCTCAATGTACTCAAAATTGGCAACCTAAGCAATTTAAGTAAAACTTTAATGCACCTTGAAGCTCATCTCACAATAGTTACCACCCGAAGAAAATGCAAATGTGCTTCACACTTCAAGCAAGCATCACCACAAAGAAAATAATCATCAGACCTTAAAAGCTTTGAGAAAACCGTCTTCTTCCTCATCATCAACTGCAGTTTCCTCATTACCAACTTGTTCGCGGTCCAGTAACCTATATACTACCAATAAGATTAAAACTCCCAAAGTAAATTTTAAAGAAATAACTCTAAGAAGAAGACCTGTCTATAGCAGCATCGTCATAATGGATCTGTCGAGATTTTCCAGCTTCATCACTGTCATCGGCAAATAGCTCTTTTGAACCATATCTTATGATGTCATCCAGTTCTTCCTGCATGTAACAGAAACCAGTGGAAGCAACACATATGAGCACCAGAGCTCATGATACGTCTAGCCAAGGAAAAACGTGATTGAAATATGCTGCAAATCATAACCATATATTCCATATGGTTAGGAAGGCTTCACTCTATAACACAATACACCAGAAAATATCCTCATATGATTCTTCCCAAAAACATACCCAAAAAGATCTCATCAGTCACAAAAGAGATTACAAAGGTACCCATCCTATAAAGAACTGGAGACCCGCAAACTACAGGTTGGCGAAAAAAACCTGGTTAATGTTTTGTGCCTTTAGCCTCCCAACAACTAAATGTTCCAGCACCATTTTCTTCTTAGTCATTTGCATCATTCTTTCTTCAATGGTACCTCGTGTAATGAGTCTGAAGATCATCACCTAACAAACCAATATATACATTGAAACATCCCAAGATGCCAAGAAAGAAACAGCAATTGACCATTAACCATCAAGAGATTAGACCTTGTTTGTCTGCCCAAGACGATGAGCTCTGGCCATTGCTTGCAAATCAGCATGTGGATTCCAGTCACTGCAGCAGATATCAGTTACTCAGTAAAACAAAGCAAAGGAATCAAAATTAAGAGTAGAGGCATAAGAAACATCAATCAGGCACCACATATATCAAAGCGACAAAGAACAAAGCAACAACTATCTATAGATTGCCGCACCTCCAGTGCATTAAACAAAGGCAGTCAAAATCCCTCACCAAGAATTGGAAAATCCAGGGCCTACAGACTCTGAACAGAAGTGATCAATGAGACCATCACATTCAGAAGCAGATTTCTTACTAGTACAACTCCAACAATCACTCAAACCCAAGCAACATCTAAAAAGTCAGAAGAGGCAAGCGACAAAGGAAATTAAATCTAAAGAAGGATTCAGAAGTTGATGAAAGCAACTGCTGGAATTATCTGCGCGAAACCAAGCCTAAAGGACCGTGGACAGACTCCATCAAGCTTGAGGAAACGGGGGATAATGACTTCTCTGCTTTTTAGGCTGACTACTTTTCCTATAAATGATTGGTACAAGCTAAATGGAACAGATCAAGCATACTTAAGTTTGCTCTGATAAAATTTTAAAGAATGAACTTCATGTTACAATTTGTGACAGAAAAATACCATGAGGAAACTAACAGAAATATGACTAACCGACAGTATAGTACATATGCAAGCAATGTAAAATGGAATCACAATTCTGGGAAATTATGAGGCCAGAATATCTACAAGACTACAACACACTAACTCAGGGTACCTCCTCACAGAAAGTACAGTTCACAGATGAAAGGAGATAACCAGAAAAAGTTGTAGAATTGTTTCATCACCTATCGTATATGATTACAGTGTCTGCAGTAGCAAGGTTGATTCCTAAACCTCCGGCCCTTGTAGATAGCAGAAAACAAAACCTGTTGGAGTTCTTTGCATTGAATCTATCAATTCGGATTTGCCTTTCTGCCCCACCGACTTTCCCATCAATTCTTTCATACTGCCACTTCTGAAACAAACCAAAGGAAAAATAGAAAGTTTTTTTTAAAAAAAATGAAAATGAGATGAGTGGCATAACATTGGTTTTAATCTTCCAAACTAGGTAAAGCTAAATACATTTTTAGCATCAGTACCCGATAGTTGCAATAATCTTCCAACAAATCTAACATATGCTGGAACTGTGAATACAACAGCACTCTGTGTCCTTGTTCTTTCAGTTTAACCATCATCTTGTCCAGAAGTTGCAATTTCCCAGAAGATTCCAGAAGCTGTCTGTTACAATTATAAACCCGAAATTACATCGAGCTACAAAAGCAACATTATGTGAAGCAGGGCTTAGAGTTATTAGGAATGTGAATCTAAATAGTGAATCGCAACATACTTATTAAACTCAGTAGTATCCTCTGGTTCAACTCCTTCTAACATGAATGGGTGGCAGCAAAGTTTGCGAAGTTCCATGACCACATTAATCAGGGAAATCTGACATCAGAATTAGCCCCTAATGTTACATGTAAACAACCAAACAAAATGAAAATGACAAAAAAATATATCAACGCACTTGGGCACCACCCTTGCGTGTTAGTATCTGATAGTTGCGGGTCAATATAGCTTTGTAATATTCCTTCTGCATACTACTTAATTCAACGCGCAGAATCAGCTCCTTTTTAGGTGGTAGCTCCTTCATCACATCCTTCTTCACTCCTGAAACATTTAGTAGAAACATTAAAGCGATTCTTTTGACGACACAGCCGTATAAAGAGGTCTTCCTCTTCCATGTAAAATAATATAGTAAGCGAACAGAACCAACAGTTATTGTGAGATAAACCTCGTCAACATCCAAATAGTATCAACAACAATCATATCCATTATAGAATTTGAACCAAACAGCAACAATCCAATTAATATATTCATTGTCATCAATCACTAAACTATATTCATTATCATTGTCATTGAGGAATCTGAACCATGCACGCCCCCTTCAACCGGAGGAATGCAATTCAATTGATCAAATTTAATCAAAATTTCAGCATGCGATTTGATTGATACATGCGTTTATTTCCCGTAAAAATTGAAAATCAAGACATAGATTGTTATATAAAGCCAAAGGGTCAAGACCATACTTCTGAGTAGATGAGGCCCAAGCATCCTATGGAGCCTTGATATCTGTTCTTCCTGATTAATATCCTTGAACTCCTCCTGAAACTCCTCCAGACCACCAAACTGCAAGTGTTCAAGATTACAAGAAATGCCATAAAACAAAGTCACGATCACCATGTGGATAACTCGGGTTAATAGAACACGCAATTGTTGCAATTTATGTTGATACAGCTTAAGGAGAAGACAAAGGGGTTCTGACCTTTCCAGCATCAAGAAAGTGCATGAGCATAAACAGCTCGTCTAGATTGTTCTGCAATGAAGGACAAGATGTCAAAGGGTGAAGAACCGAAAAAAAAATAGTGGAGCAAAACCAAGAGCGATTTAACAGGCTCAATCATGTTCGGTCATACGGTTCTATCATGTTTTCAATTCACGTAAAATGAATAAGCAATCCTGACTTTTTTACATTTGATGACCTTAATCACTCAATGTAAACATCACCCCTCCCCCCTCAACCCCAACCCAAAAAAAAAGAAGTAAAAACCAAAAAAGACCTACTTCTCGATCTTCTCCCTGATCGGGAAGAAACATCCGAACAACAACCAAAGAATCCTGAAGGTTCAAACCCCAAAAAATAACAGAAAAGAAAAGAAGACAATAATTACACCATCTAAAAGGTGAAGAGCTCAGTCTAAAGACCTGAAGAGGAGTTCCAGTCAGAAGGACACGATGCCTGCTTGAGAACTGCTTCAACGAAGAAAACAACTTTGAATCCTTGTTCTTAAGGCGGTGTCCTTCATCAACAATCTACACAGCAATATAAAATAATAATAGGATGTAGCTTGAAAAGAGAAGAAAAAATAAATCAAGAGGCAGAGAAACCTCACCATACACTCCCACTTTATTGGTTTCAGAGTTACAGTGTCCAAGTTAATCATCTCATACGAAGTAAGAAGGACATCAAATTTAATCCGGTCTTGTTTGCTTTCAGTTACAATTTGACCAGATTTCTTCTTCTTGTTCTTAAGTTTTTTGGGAAAATAAAACTCATATTCTCTTATAACCGCACGAGCTTGGGATGAGCCAACATACATTACCTGTACAATCAACTCGTTAAAAGGATATCATAACTATTTAAAGATTAATAATTTCAAGAATCATTTACTTACGACATTCAATTGAGGAGCCCAGGTGGCAAATTCTCGTTCCCAATTTCTTAATGTTGAAAGAGGAGCTACAACCAGATGTGGACAAACGTTTTCCTCAAATAGCGATGCCAAGAAGGCAATACTTTGAATTGTTTTTCCTGAAGGAATTTATACTGTGAGAAAATGCCTCTCTGAAACTCTTTATATAAATGAACCACAGAAGCCAACTCCTGAAAGATGAAAGGGGGATATATAAAGTAAATGACATGCAGAGATCTTACCAAGCCCCATTTCATCTGCAAGAATAACATGCGTTTGTTTTGACCAAGCAAATCGCAGAAAGTTCAACCCTTCCAGCTGATAAGGATGTAAAGATCCTTCATTTAACCAAATAAAAAATTTTTAGACCAAAAATGCCAAATGACAAGGCGCAGAACAAGAAAATTCTGGAAGGACTCGTACCTCCAGAAAGGAACGTGGGACTGCTTTCAAATTGCTGAAACTCTTTCTGTTTCCTTTTTGATTCTATAACATCATCAGGACTGCTCTTTTTCTTCGCTAAAGATCTTTTACGTCGCGATTTTACACTGTTAAACTTTTCAATTTCTTGTTGAAATGAAGCAATATCTGACTCAGACTCCCAATAGCATTCATCATAAGGAAGCTCTTTCCACTTTACAAGATATTCTTTTTCGGTGGCTCCATCCCTGTACGAATCCAGAAATAGTTCCCGCAAAAATTTCAGCATATTTCAAACAAGATACAGGGAAATTAGGAAATTGAAATAATTTTTGAAATAAAATAAAATGCTTTGACAACGTTTCTAAGTATAAAGGGGCAAATGCAAAATAACTTTCTACTCCAAATATCTTCAATAAAAATTGAAATTTTTAGAAAGGATATGAGAAGTAAAGTGTCACACTGTCACCCACTGCCGGTCCTTATACTAAGAAAAGTTGTCACTTTGACAATAAGAAGGGAGATAGGGAGTGAAAGTAAGTTCATTAACCTTATGCAGCACTTACTCGGTTTCCTAGCATCCATATACTAATCATAAGCTCCCTCTCAAGGTAGTTCACCGATTTTTTTTATTTTTTAAATTCTTCGTTCTTCTTAATAAGTAATAACCATTACCAAAGCAGTTTTTACTACCTTCTTTCACAACCAGAGGTTTTATTACAAAAAAGAGACCAATATTCTTTTTTGTAACCTTAAACACCAGGGTCTTAATTTGGCCCCAGAGCACTGCACAGTGCGAAAAAGAGGGAAATTGTTTTAAGCGTATAATATCTTAATCAGTCATTTCGAAAGTGAGACCAATCAATGATACCTGCAGGCAATAATACGATCAACAGTTGTCCACTCCGGTCGAATGGCAACATATTCATCCTCAGAATTATTCATTGTTGAGATTTGACGATGGAAGTTATTAACTTTTGTTCTCAATCTTGGCAGAGTCTTGTAAGCTTTGATAAACTCCTTTTCAGGCACCCTGCAATACATACGTGAAATATGCATTTTATCATCATTTCAAGATGGTGAAGTGTGACCAAAAGAAGCCTAGTTCTCGGTAGAAAGGCTCATCAAGTGCAAAACAGGATATGAACCTAAAGAACTACCAAAGGAGCTAACCAGAGACAAGCAAAACATAAATTACAATAACTAGGAAATATGTGAAGCTTCACCATGTACAATGGAGATAAGACAATCCTTTCCACTTGACAAGGTACTGTTTCACAAATATTTGTTTAGAACCCAGCTTTGAGGCATCTGTTTCATCTGCCACTGTGGGCCTCATCTCAGAGTCCAGTATCTTGTCAATATCATTTAAAGGACTCACCTGTAGGAAAAGGATAAAAGGAAATTGTAATGTTCACTACAAATTATAAAATCACCACGGATATTACAGGAGTAAAAGCTTACACATTCAGGGCACCTCCAGCTGGTAGGAAAAGGAGCCTTCAGAGGTGGGAGTAAGCATTTTGGATGGTATGCATAATTACAGGTTTCACATGACAATAGATCATCTTTATCACCACAAGCTTGACAGCAATCATCTTTCTACATAGGAAAAAAAACGGGTGAATTTCCAAAATAGACAATAAGCAATTATTAGCAGATACGCTAAAATTAAAAGCATCAGCCCTCTCCACCGTTTAACAGCGAAAATAGGTGAACAAACCAGCAATAATAGGCACAACTACTCAATAGACAAAATAAATTTTACAGGACTAGTTGCAAAAGTTCTATGTTTGGATGGTTTTCTTAGCGTGTTTTCTTTTTTCTGTTGGAAATATGAAAAGATGTGTTGGACATCTTAAAAAGGTTTTTTTGGGAAAGTATGCATATTAATTAAATAATCAATAAGAACCAAAAACCCCAAATTGAAAAACAAACCAACCATTTCAAAAAAAAAAAAAAAAAAAAAACAAACCAAACATAATCTAGAGCCTATAGGACAAGGCTATATCAAACTAATTATTGCGGAGAGACAACTGTAAAACAACAGATATGCTGAAAAGGGATGAATCGGGCAGAAGAAGTTATATACACGTAAGTAACAGGATTCCAGTTTACATATTAAAGCAACTATAAGATCATTCATCACATGTCTAACGTTATGGAGGCGTATTCTAGTTTTAACCTGAAACTAAATGATAGAATCTTAAGCCAAAAAGCAGTATGGCTTTAGCCTGAGCCTCAAACCCAACTCTGAAAATGGAAGTACTCACACTAATAGCAGACCTTGAAACCAGAATTGAATAGACCAGCACTAACGAAAATTTGGGTGGGATATGTATTACTGATGACTACTGGCGCAATTCAATTTGTGATTTGATTAAAAGTAACTTAATAACATTGGAGCAAAAGGCAAAATTCGAAAGAACTCAATCTAAAAACGTAAAGGTAAAATATGACCATGTTATAATTGGTTACACAAAACAAAGAGGGTATCCGGTCTTGTGTGAATCGCCAATTTTGCTGTGAAAAGATCACATCTAAAAGGAGGAAAAGGTGCAAGCAATAAATACATTACTATAACTTTGGGAATGATCATAGATGCAATCATAATCAATGCCAATTAGCCAGCCAATTTGCTTCTGACCAAATCCAATCCAAGAAAAAACAAGTTAAACCCACTGTCACAATCTGATACTAGAACTCGACAAAAAAAGGAGAAAAATCTACATCAGCACAAGCAAAATTAAAACAATACTTTGATGAAACACAACCAAGAAACAACAACATTTCCATTTTTACACACCAAACCAATTCAAATATACTACTTTACATTGATAGGATGTCGCGAACCAGTTAAGAAAATCTGGCACAAACAACATATTTCTACTACGGTCAAGGTCACAGACGTTCAAGTAAAGTGGGCAGGAGCTCCAAGTAATAAACATACCGGATGAAAAAAAAAAGTTGAAATAATATGAGATTGATTTACCGCATCAGGGCGAACAGTTCTCTCGAAAATCTCCTCTCTAGGCTTGGATTTCAAGAGGGTAGCGTCATCATCCGACTCGTCCAAATTATAAACCGGCCGACGATCTGATCGAACCCGAAGCCTTTCCACCAAACTCGCCATTACTCAGCAATCTGCATTGAACAAAAAAAGAAAGTCACGGAAAACATTGATAGCATTTACGCGGCACGTAGGTCAGGAGACCAGGAAATTAGGGTTTCTACCGCACAAAACCAGAAAAGAGAAAAAAAAAAAACTAGTGAATTGGGAATATTGTATGTTCATGGAGATGGGTCAGAGAAAAGTGAGCACCCAAGATGAAATCGATAGGAACGGATACCTCCTCTCACTCAGTGAGCGGATTCTGTTAAAAATGGAACATATAAAAAATGCTTACTATTCTAAAATGGAGCCAATTTTGAGGAGCTCCGGGAGTGTGTTCGTCGGTGGGCAGAAGGTTACTCGTTAGATGAACTGAGCGGGGGGATTCGCCACCTGCGGTGAACTAAAAGAAAGATTAGGGTTAATATCAAATACCTCCTCAATGTTTGAGCGAATATCTAAAATATCTTGATATTTTTAGAAAATATCAAGGTCATTCTTTGACCGGCCAAACTGAAAAGTCACAAGGGTCAGAGCAGTGAAATGACTAGGATGTCCAACCCCGAACCCTTTACAATGAAATGACGAATGTTTCCCGGATCCAGTTTCTAAAAATACTAGTGATGTCTGGTCGTGCAATGCGCGACTCTAGCCCAATATATCTGTAGATCTTATAAATGTTTGTATCTGGAAAAAAATATTTTGTATTTGGCCCGATATATTTTAGAAATATTTGAAGAATTTTAGAAATGTTTTATAAGTGTGATGTTTGTATTTGGCAAAAAAATAAATTGTATTTGGCCCGGTACGTTTTAGAAATGTTTGAAGATTTTAGAAATATTTTATAAGTGTTACTTCTTAAATATAAATAAACTTGATCAAATATATGTCTTGAAGTAAATGATAGACAAAATATAAAAGCATCCTAATAAGTTTAAATATTAGTAAGATAGTTTATTGATGTTCTCCATTGGTTGTGCCAAATCAATACTTAGTTTTGGAGATTTATAATAGCTTTGTAGTTAGCTTCCTCCAAATGGTATACGCTTAATTGTTGAAACTATTTCTTCCAAAAGTTTATAGGTAGTAAAATATTAAAAATATGATTTTGAAACTGGTTAATTGTTGAAACTGGTTGATCACAAATATGAGAATGAAAATAATTGTAAATTTACATAGGTTTCAAGATGTAGCAAAAAAGAACTCACCTCACCATGGCAAATAAAAAAAAAAAGAAGTAAAAGATAGCCCATTAAAATTTGAGAGTTTTTATTTTTTTTTCTGTAGATAAAAATGATGTATAAAAATACAAATAAACGTAGAACATCGTCCCTTCCCTCTCCACCTCAAATTCATAAAAAGATTCACCATAAATTAGTTAAAAGAAGCGACCTGAACTATTTATATGATGAGGAACTAAAAAAAGTCCAATAACCAAATCCAAAAAAGTATATTCCTGAAACCCCGAATACAAAAAAAAAAACATGCTTCATTTGCAAATAAAATAATAATAATAATAATAATAATAATAATAATAATTGGTCAACTGGGAGTATGAGACAAAATCAAAAGTAATTAAACAAAGAAAAAACGCACTTCATAATTGGCCATATACGAAAAAAAAAAACCTGAGACTACATAATTAAAAAAAAAACCACTATAATTGAATGAAACATAAAAAACAAATTTAAAAAATTACACTTTGTAACAAAAATCCAATCAATCAATTCAATCCAAACATAACTTAAATCATACAAAAATTCTAGTCTAACTAACTAAATAAGAAATCACATCATACTACCTGACAACGGCTACGGTAGCTGTAACGGATGGACGCATAAAAATAATAGTAATAACACTATTCTTAAACGGGAAAAACAAAAAATAATAAAAGCCAAACCAATGATATGTGAAAATCATTTAAATTTTAATACCTGTAATGGCACCACCACAATGGCCGAAGCAAGATCAATGATATTTTTTTTCCCTTTGTGTTTATATAGAGAGGTAAAGAGAATATTTTTCGAAGTTGAAAATTTATCCGATTAAGATGTAGTTGATCATCACTAATGAAAAGATTGAACATGCTAATAGGAAAGGAGTATATTTCATCACATATTCTTAATTGATGATTGATGAGGAATTTATTTATTTATTTTAATTGTGGAGAAGAGATTGATTAAGAAGTCGATTGTCGTGCAGATGGGGATGATGATTTGGGGTTTTTATGAACCAGTTGTTTTTTTTTTTTTGACGGAAATAGGAGGTGGAAGTGAATTTAGACTATATTTGCCTTTTAAATTTAAGAGATGTGGAAATAAAAATTTATTTTAAAAATATGATGTGGAAATGCCACATGGCAAATGGTGGTTCTTTCTCTTAAATGTGGTTTTTGTTTCTAATATAGTAAGATATCTGCGAACTTTTGTTTATGAACTGGTGGAACGCACTTCCCGATATAAACATCTACTAGGTTTTTAGCCCAAACATATTTATTTATCAGTGAATGAGGAAAATAGAGTAAAAAAGAAAGGATGAAAATGTAGTAAAGAAGATGTTTAACAAAATAGATTTTACTTTGATTTTTTCCTTTTTCTAACATAAAATTCTTGAATTGAATTTTGCAAATTATTTTTTTGAAAAAACTTACAAAAGAGATCTGCAAATTAGATTTTTCAACATATGTTTAGATAAATGTTGAAAAAGTGAACATAATTTGCAATTTGAATTTTGAGGGCCATGTTTTATGAAAAGTTACAAAAGAGATCATAAGTTGGAAATTAGATTTTGCAAGCCATGTTTTGGAAAAACTTACAAAAATAGCATAGCTTGCAAATTAGATTTTCCAAACTATGTTTTGGGTAAAGAAAATGGTTGCAAAATACAGTTTATTTTAAAGAAAAAAAATAGTTATAGAAAAAGTACTTATATGTTTTGGAAGATTTGTAAAAACTAATCATATATAACTTTTTTTTTTATGAAAATGTGAATAATTTTCATTATAAAAAAAGAGAGAGTTGTATTACACATTTCCTTCCAAAATTGCTCTATTTATAAAAACTTTACAGTCTACTGTTTTTCTTCTACTGGAAACCACCGTTGAAGAATTCCTTGTTCCTGCGCTGTCATCTTGTGCCCTTTGCAATGTAGAACTCTGATACGAATGATCCTCTGTATTTTATGGTAAATTTCATCCACACTTCTTCTTTGACCCTTGAAGATTCTGCCATTTATTTCTTCTCATAGATAGTATATGCTAGCTGCTACAACTGCATACAGAATTTGCTTCTTTCAATCTGGTTCTTTTCCATACATGCAGAGCAGTTCTTGCTTCCATTGTCTCTGTTGAACAGGCCACATTTTTAAACCCAACCATTCCTTAACCTTCCTGATCAGTGCACTTGTAAAAGAGCATGTAAAGAATAAATGTTCAATGGATTCATCATACTCCTCGCATAAACAACAAATGGTATCATGGACCAAGATATTTCATTGACTCAACCTATCTTTGGTCCAGATTCTCCCCTTCCGAACCAACCAAGCAATAAAGGACTGCTTGGGGAGGTTTATTCTAGCCCAGATTAGTCTAGCAGCAAACCATTTTCTCTGTTTCCCCCTGCAGCCAACCATAACCTGAGGATATTGAGTAAACTCCCTTTTTGTTTCCTTTCCATTTCTCGCCTTCAAAACCCTTCTCTGGCTCTATCCCTGAGTTTCAAGATCTGTTTCCAGGATCAACTGCAATCCTGTTTACACTGTACCTCCCATATTGTTTGCTGCTTGAGATATATCTCATTAATCCACTTAACCCATAGACTACCTTTTTTGCTAGCCAGCCACCATACTTGTTTAAGGATTGCATCTTGAATTCCAAGTCCACCTTCTGATTTCTTCCTACAAACAGTTTCCCAGCCAACTAAGGAAGAATATCTATCATTTTCCTTTACCCCCCATAGAAATTCCCAGCATTTTTTATTAACAGCATCTGTGATCTTATGGGGTAATATAAAGGCAGAGGCGCAATAAACATGCATATTCATCAGCACAGAGTTCACTAACTAAAGCCTACCAGCATACGAGAGGTTGTGGGTACTCCAACATTTCAGCCTACTCACAATCTTCTCAATTAGTACCTGGCATTCAACTTGATTCCATTTCTTTGGAGACAGAGGCACCCCTAAATATCGCATAAGGAATGTCCCTTCTCCAAAGCCAATGAGTCTACAAATTTGATCTTTCAGCTCTTTTTTAAACCCACCTTAATAGACCTCAGATTTCTTTAAGTTCACTTTCAGTCCAGAGGTTTGGGAGAATTCCTCAAATGTTTCTTTAATGTAGGCTATTGTTGTTAAATCTGCCTTGCAGAAGATCATTAGATCATCTACAAAACAAATATTCGACATCTGCAAGGTTTTACAAAGAGGGTGGAACTTGAACCATGGTTTCTCAGCTACTTCTTTTAGCATACGGGTCAAATATTCCATTAAGGTTACAAAGATAAGTGGGGAAATTGGATCCCCCTATCTCAGACCCTTTCTACCCTGGAAGTACCCAACATTTGCTCCATTTAAGCAGAGCATAAATGAGGTTGACTCGACACATGCCATCACTCATTTTACAAATTGACCTGGAAACCCTAATCCATATAGACATTCTTCCACAAACTGCCATTCAACTGAATCATAGGCTTTTTGTAGGTCAATTTTCATTAAACATCTCCCACTAACTCCCTTCCTTCTATACAGCCTTTTAAGTTCCTGAGTTATCATTATATTATGAAGGATAAGCCTACCTTCCACAAACGCTCCCTGGTTTCTATCTATAATCTAAGGTAATACTTTTATCATCCTATTACAAAGCACTTTAGATATAATTTTGTAAAATACATTACAGCAAGCAATAGGACGAAATTGACTTGCATTTGAAGCATTTTCCACTTTAGAAATTAAGGCAAGAATAGTAGAGTTTAACTGTTTTAGTAGTGTACCAGTTTCAAAAAATTCCAAGACAACAACAGTGACTTCATCTCCGATGATTTTCCAGGTGGCTTTGAAGAAACCACTCCTAAACCCGTCAGGGCTGGGACTTTTGTTGCTATTTATACTCCAAAGTGCTTGCTTGATCTCCTCCTTGGTGATGGGTGCTATAAGTTGCATCTACATGAGAAGATTTAGTTTAGGAACCTTAGTGAATACCTTCTATTTTACTGGTCTCATTTCCTCAGTCTGACCCAATTGTCGTTGGAAAAACTCTAAGTGGTCCTCAAGGGCTTTCCAGTCCCTAATAAACTCCACCCTATCATTCATGATTACCCAGATCCTGTTCCTCATCAACTGTTGTTTGAGTTTAGAGTGA